CTGTTGGAGATTGTCAACCGCAGAATTAATCGTGAAGGTTTTTGTAATAAGGATCAACTGTTTGAACAAATCCAAAAGGCCTGGGCAGCGATTCCACAAAGTTTCATTGATCACCGGATTGATTCTATGCTTCGATGATGCAAGGCTCTAATTGACAACAAAGGATTCGCCACAAAATATTGATAGCGAAATACAGCTTGGTCAACATTTTGTGGAGTTGCATTTGTTTTGTCCAGAAGGAAAGCAACTTTTTTTAAAAACTTTTGATTAATTTATTAACTTTCGTGTACAAATAATGAACTTTGTGATGAATAAAACTTGAAGAACGCTGTCTCTAAACAGTTACACAGTTATTTCTCTAAATTGAAAAAATGCAGCACTTTTATATTTTGAAACTAAATTAGCATTATTTGGTTGCATTTGTTTTGTCCGACACTGTATATATATATATATATATATATATATATATATATATATATATATATATATATATATATATATATATATATATATATATATATATATATATATATATATATATATATATTTAAAAAATCATAAAAAGATTTCTTTAGAATTAGGGCATTTATTTTTATAATTTTTTATAAGAAACTTATTTTCATGTCTGCATTTAGAAATTAATTCAGATTTTTTATTCAGTAAATTTTTTTGATCTAAATGAGTAATAATTTCAAATTTTTCTTGTAAACATAGTAAACACTTTTGGGAAATATTATTATAGGCAGGCGCAGTTTTTAGAATAGATCAGTTTAATTTAAAATTAATATTTTTTTCTTTTAGTTGATATATATTTTGACAGCATAGTCTCTTTTGAGTACTTTTTATGTTTCAAAAGATTGTTTGTGGTTGGCATAACATTTTTTAATATATATAAATATATGCTTTATATATATATATATATATATATATATATATATATATATATATATATATATATATATATATATATATATATATATATATATATAAGTATATATATATATATACATATATATCTTATACTGCTGAGTTAGGTGAGCATGATGATGTCATATTCACCTAATGTCAAATAGCCTGCTGCCGGGGGCTTCAGTACATACATCGACTGACAAATAGCCTGACTCGCCGTGAAGTGCTGCTACATCGACTGAGGGTTTGGGATGGGGCAGCAACCTTTTCATTCATTATTCTTCGTTTTCCCTCATCGTTTTCTAAAAACGCTCACTTAAATTAGGCTAGCAAAAAAAGTGAGCAATTGCGCATATAAATATGCTATAGTAGATATATATATATATATATATATACATATATATATATATATATATATATATATATATATATATATATATATATATATATATATATATATATATATATATATATATATATATATATATATATATATATATATATATATATATATATTAGGGGCTTTGCTAGCTGGAAAGTAGTGACGTATGATTTTTTTAATAAAACTTACAAATAGCGGCGGAGAGACTATTTTTTTCTAAGGTTAGATTGGTAATAGTCTTTAACTTTAGCCCCTAAAATATGCCTGGTAATTCAAGTTTTAAATTGGTAACTTATTTTACAACAACCACATTTGTTATCTTAAAAATTTATATTTGCTATTACTTTTTTTAGGTTGGAGTAAGTGCACACCACCCTCCCATAAGTCCAAATGTAAACCTGTAATTAATGCAAAGTCTTGTAAAACAACTTTTTTAAATATTTTTTATTTGATATACTTATTTTAATATATATATATAGAAATATTTATAAGAATTAAATATGCCTCTCAATGGAGACACAACCGTTTTTTTTACTAACTGTAATTTTTGTGTTTTGTGTTTAACATTTTCAAAACCGTTTGTCTTTTTTTCTTATTACTAGCATTTTGAAGCTTATTAATGTTGTTATTGAAACAATTAAAAAAACGCATGCCGTTTAAATATCGTTTATATTTTTGTACTTTTACTAAACACTACGGGGACTGTTATATACAATAATATTAATAGTTATAGTTGTTTATGAAAGGATTACATTAATATTAGTTATTATAATGATAATAGTAAAGCAATAGTATTAATATAACTAAATATCCTATCTATAGCTAAAATTAGCTCCGTCAATCGTAAAAAAAGTTTTTAATAATCATTAGTAAATCTATATGTATTTTATGGTGTATCCAATGTATTTTATGGTATTTTCGGTTTGAAAATTGAAAATTTTGTTTGAAAATTTGTTTTGATTCAAATTTTGAATTAAATTAAAGCCAGAAACAGATAACAAAGATTCTGTGATTTATTAGTATCACTTTTTAAAAAAAAATTGTGCTAATAAGGGACTGTCCATTATTTATGTCAACAAATAAAAGGGAATGACTTCTAAAAATATTTTAGAAACCATCCTCCTTATTTTAAAAAGGAGAGGGGGAGGTAGAGCAAAGTTGACGTCAACAAAGTTACTTTTTTAATAAACTTAATTAAAAAAAGGAAAAAAATATGTTTTTTTTTCATTTTAATTTTAATTACGTGGGCATATTTGGTGTCGTGTTTTCAAGTCTGTTGCTTCAGAGCAATCTACAAGCACTGCTTCAATTGCTTTTTTTTAACTGGTAAACATTAGAACCTGTCGATTGCCTAACTGGAATACCAAAATAGTTTAGCAGTATATTTACAACTTTCTCAGCAACCTTCTCAGCAAGACGACCTACACCTTCTAACTATTTTCATCAGTTAATTTCTCCAAAGTTGTTGCTTTGAGTTTCTGTAACTTCCACCCAACTCATTTTTGGACATGTCCCTCACCTTTCAATTTTAAAACAGCTATCTTATTATATGGATCTCTAGCAACAATAACGGTATATGACTTAAACTTATCTTCTGAAGCAACAAAACAATATGTATATTATATGCACGATCTCTTCATTACAAGGATCTATAATCGACGATTCTTCGTTAACATCACACAATACGGTTACGTTTGAAATGTCATTGTCATCTTTGTTAGTTGCAAATATGGATTCTCATAGAGACATTATTCATAAAAACATGTTGCAACATCAAAATACGAGTTATATACAATTTTGTGTGATTCATTAAACACTGTAATATTAATTGGAAGTGGTATGTTTAAATATCCGCACAATTTTTCTGAACAATTATGATCTTTTCTAATTTTCTAATATTGTAATAATAGCAGTGGCGGAACTACTGGACGCAGGACCCTGCGTTGCGGGGGGGGGGGGGGCTACCAGCTATAGGGGGCCCTCATATAAAAAAAGTTATACTGTCAATAATATTTATACTATAAAACTCTTTTCCGCAAAAAAAACATTCTTTTGCGGGGGGCCCAAATTTTGAAGTTCCGCCACTGAATAATAGAATGTACATTTACCTCAGATGAAGGTCTTCTAGGACTGCTTTGCGTTTACAATCTTTACTCGAATGAAATGTTGTATACCAACTACAGTTTGAACGTTGCAACAATAACGGTTTAGACAAGCCTTGCATCCTCAAGACATCTAATGTTAGACTAATAGTTGCTACTATATTGTATATGCTAATAATTTGTGTAAAAATATCAAAAGAAAAATGTCTAAAAAAATGGATTATATTTAGTTGGGTTTGAAGAATTAACATACGATAACAAATTGGTGTCATTGATGGACGAGTATGATAAAAAGTTAATTTCTCTGGACTCATAGTGATTTTAGAAGATAGCGAAGTACCTGGTAATAGATACAATAGATTCATTTCTTCCTGATTCTTCTTCTATCCAGAAGAAGAATCAGGTGGGTTAGAAAAAGGAAACTTAGCTGATTTTTCTTATTTTTTGTATGCTGGTTACCTTTAAATGTCCGTCTAGAAAATGCTTTCAAATAGCGAGACAGTAATACAGCTCTACTTTTTTTTTATTATTTTTTATTATTATAACTATAAAGAAAATAGAAGATAAAAATGAAATAACAGATAGGCTTAACAAAGCTCTTTTTGTTGCTGTTTATTATAATTAAACAACTACAACAAAAAAAGAAAATAATAACTCATGAAAACAAATTAACTAATAATAACAAAGCTAAACAATAAAAAAAATCTTTTTAAAAAAAAAATACACCTTTTCTTCAATTGGAATAAAATGAAAAAGTAATTTTTTCTTTATACTTGACTCATTTGAGCTAAATTTATATAAAATAATTGAGCAGCCGTAGCACAGCGGTTAGCGCGCATGCTTTAGAAACAAGAGAAACGTGTTTCAACGCAAGTTTCTTAACATCGGTAAGGAAGGAGGCGTGAACTTCCTTTCAAATACTTTTCCGCGATGCTCAGAGATAAGACTGTATAGACTTCTTGGGGCACCTAAAAAAACTACAAAAAAAAAAAAAATATATAAAACTGTTTCTTGAAAATTCTAAAATATTTATATTTTCTAAATTAATTGAAGCGCAAAAACACTGAAAAAGTTACAAATTAGCTGAGTAGAAAATCAAACAAATTAGGACGATAATGAAGGTAAAACAATTTATAGGAAAAAAGCCAAGCAACAGTTTTATAAAATTAAGGTCAAATGGGTCAAATCTCAAATAAGCCTCTGAATCTGAAAACATTTTTGTTGTATTTTGGACATACTTGTAACAACGCCGTGAAATAAGAAAAGGTGTAAAATTAAAAGATATAATAATAATACATTAAAACCTCTTTGCTAAAACAAATGAACAATGATTACAAACATAAACAAATATTAATTCACTTGCAGATTTATCCATTTTTAGAGAAAACCTTTTAATAGTAAGTATTATTAGTAAAACTTTATATTAGTTTGGTGACTTTTTACATCCATTTAAACTTCTGTAAAACATTAAACCTTCCATAATTTGGCATTTTATAGGGGAGACTAGGTTATTTTGGCATTATAAAACCTAACTTTTGTTATTTAACAAGTAAAAAGTTTCTGACTGTTTTAACATTTTAGCCTTCGAAAAAGTTTTCTGCTGATTAAAAGATTTTTCAGGATAAAAAAATATTTATTCAAGAAACTTTATTTATTCTAACAACACCAGCTAACGCAATTTTTATTTACAATAAAACTTGTAACTACAACAAAGTAATAATTTTTAAACTTGATAGAAGTAAGGATTTTAAACTTCGATCGATTTCAAAATGCATTTCAAATCTAAAAAAAAAAAAATGCAACGTTTAGAAAAGCTAAATTATAGGGACTCTCTCTCTTGATATATATATATATATATATATATATATATATATATATATATATATATATATATATATATAGTGACGTATTAAGGGGGGGGGGCAAGGGGGACCATGGCCCCGGGCAGCAAGAAAAATAAAACTTTTTAAATTTTAATCTATACTATGCTTTAAATTTGTATTAGCTCTAAAGTTAGTGAAGACTATGTAAGTACTGACTACTGAGTACCACGATATTATGCGTTTGTCTATCACATGACTATTAAAAGTGCTTGACAGAACAGCTGTTAAACCTGATATTACAAACCTGATATTACAAACCTTTATCGCAGAAATAACGCGTTTTGTAAAATATAAATGGTACCACTGAGCACATTTTATTTTTTCTTTTGATATATTTTTGTCTATGTTTTTCTGTTAAAATGAGTAAAACGAAGACACTTCCAAGCATTAAGGAAGAAAAATTAGTTTCAGCTAAGAAAATATTAGTAGTAGTGATAATAATTTTTTTTGATGAAGAAACAAGTTTATTTATATAATATTTTCATTTTAACTTTATGTTTATAACATACAACTTATATTTTGTAAACATATAGTTGTATATAAACATATAGTTGTATATAAACATTTAGTTATATATAAATATATAATTGCATAAAAAGATATAGTTGTATATAAACAATTAGTTGTATTTAAAAATATAGTTGTATTTATACATTTATTTGTATATAAACACTTAGTTGTATATAAACATCTAGCTATAAAGATTGAAATATTAGAACCCAAAGTTGTTTTGAAATATAAATTCTACAATTCACAATTGGTAAGTTTATTGTTTATTTTGAAGTTGGTAAGTTTATTGTTTATTTTGTTAAAGAATAACACTTTTAATGATGCAAGTTATAATTAATAATTATACTTATACTTATATATTCTTATACTACCTAAACTTTGGCATATAAAATTTGCCAAATGGTCACACACGAGCAGTGGACGCCCGAGGGAAGAAATAAAGTACACTAGAATAAAGGAGAATTATTTATAGAACGAAGCATATTTTGACAGTTGTCAAGACAAAAATAAAGATTAATAGAGGAAAATTTCAAAATAAATAAGACAGACAACGCACCCAAGCAGTACTGACAATAATAATAACAAAAAAATTGTTTTATAAAAACTAATACGAACGAAGATATAAAACACATATATAACCAAACAAAAACTTAAAAAACTAAAAAATTGATAAACAAAAACTAAAAATATGCGTACAACAATGTGAGGTCTTGGAATGAAAAAAAAACATTAATGCTAATGTGTAAACATAATTAATGTAGTGATAAATTAATAAACATCTCCTCAGAGTCGCATCTATTATTACAGGCGTTTCGATGAGAATCAGCACTTATAACTAGTTTATCCCGTCAGGCAAACGTCATCGCCACTTGTGCTTTACTCCGCGACTTACGCCTTATCCATACTGCAGTAAAAAAGGACTCACTACAAATAGCCAAAGCCCAACCATACCCAAATTCGTAAAACACTAATACTTTTTTTAACGATATGATGTAAAAAGTGTAGATCTACTGTAAATAAATAAATAAATAAAAATTACTAAATAAATCATTTACCATACCACCGAAAAAAAACATGAAAACACAATAAATTAAAATTCTAATAGAAACATAAAAATATCAATAAATTCATTTTAAGATATAAAACCAAATAGGTATTATTAGCATAAACAAGCCAAAGATAATCAGAAAACAGTATGCCTCATTATAATTTTTTTTTAAATCAACAAAACAATAGCCTTGAATAAACTCTAACGCTGTCATAGATACCTCATTCGAAATATGATAACCAATCAAAAGTGCAGGAAAATGAGAAACCCGCGAAACCCAAAATCTTAACAATAATTGAATTGCGAAAAAAATCGTCGCACAAAAACCTTAAAAATGTCACCGGTGACGCGAAATAAAATAACTCCCCGAAAAGTTAACTCCCGGTTAAAACATTTTAACTCCCCGGTTAATCTATTTCGAAATAAATTAACCCCGGGAGTTAAATTATTTTAAAACATGGCGAAATAAATTAACCGGGGGCTTAAATATTTCTAACCCCCATCGTAATAAATTAACCCCTATTAATTCGCGTTTTAAATTATTTAGCTTATAATAAGTTCTACAAAATTGCGTAGGTAGTTTTTTCTAATATATTTTTTTAATATATATCTTCAGTTAGCGTTGAATAAAATTATTTTGTAACTGTTTCGTTTTGCTTAGTTTGTAAATTGTTGTAAAAATAAAAAGGAGATCAAAATAATAATAATAATATTGCAGCAACTTCAGCGAACCTTTCTCTTGCAATAATGTTTGAGATTATAGTCTATAATCTCAAACATTATTGCAAGAGAAAGGTTCGCTATATAGACTCTATAATATTATTATAGAGTTTATATAGCGAAGTAGTTAGCTATCATAGTATTTATATATATATATATATATATATATATATATATATATATATATATATATATATATATATATATATATATATATATATACATATATATATATATATATATATATATATATATATATATATATATATATATATATATATATAATATATATATATATATATATATATATATATATATATATAATATATATATATATATATATAATATATATATATATATATAATATATATATATATATATATATATATATATATATATATATATATATATATATATATATATATATATATATATATATATATATATATATATATATATATATATATATATATATATAAATTAGTAGAAAATCAATTAACAAAAATTTTTTTTATTTTTTTATTTTACAATGAGTTTCATCAATAAAAACTCATCAGAAATTTCTGATGAGTCTTTATTGATGAAACAGTGTAAAATGAACAAAAATTTTTGTCAAGTGATTTTCTACTAGTTTATAATTGCTCTGTTCTTTTAAGAACATTGAGCACTCTATTTTGTAGAATACATTTTTAAACACACACATACACATACACACACACACACACACAAACACATATATATATATATATATGTATATATATATTTATATATATGTATATATATATTTTTATATATGTATATATATAAATTAGTAAAAACACTCATCTAATTTTCCTCGACTGTCAAAATTAGATAAGTGTTTATACTAATTTACTACTGCTCTGTTCTTTAAGAACATTGAGCACTCTATTTGTACAATACACTAGGTCAATTCCACGCTTAAATGAGTTATTTCAATAAAATAATTAAATAAATTTAATTATTTTAAATTTAATTATTTTAAGTTATTTTTAAATTTAATTATTTTAGTTAAATAAATTTGATTGTTTAGCAAAGTAATCACTGGGTTACCTTATGTTTAAAAATTTTTAATTTTGATTAATAATGTTACTTGTGTGTTTTGTTTTTGTTTTAAATTTCAAATTAAAGTCATGCCTCATACTTTCTATATAAATGGTAGCTAATCTATATTTTGATAAAAGTGTAGAATTGTCTCTGTAAGTAACAATAAAAAATAACAGTTGATTTTACATACATAAATATGTAGTTATGTGATAATATTTAACATCAATAATATTGTTGTTATATTAATATTTCTTCTTTTGTTTTAGTTAATAAAAAGTTAAAAAGTAATAATTGAATTGTTGTCATTTATCCTTCGAATCCACAACAATTTTATTAACTTGTAATTCATTGTGTTACAAAGAACAAAAGGACAAAGCTCTACGACCAGCACGATTTGAATCACTTCCAAACACACCATCAAGTAACCAAGAATTTAAACATTGGTTTAAAACTTTTGAATATTTTTTAGATGTGTTACCTCAAGAAAACATTGACATACTCCTTTATCAGTGGTATAACTTATAATGAAATCCAATAACGACTTCTCTAAAAAAGATCCATAAAATTAGAGGTTATGTTTGACAAAACTATTGTAATATCTTTCAAAGCAATATAACACTAACTCAACAGCTGCATCTATCTTAAAACTAACATTAGCAACTCCTACTAGTTGTATAAATTCAATTTTTCAAAAGTCTGACTGTAAACTAATAGCCTCAAAATCTCGCCTCTACAGTGCTGAAGACAGAAAATTTTTTAGCTCTGAAGTACAACGCCTTAACAAAGAAGGAATTATCGAACCTTCAACATCACCATGGAGATCACAAGTCATTGTAACAAACAAGAGATCAAAAAAGTGCCTAGTCATAAACTATAGTCAAACTATCAATTGTTTTATGTCTTGATGTCTACCCTCTACCACAAGTAGTTAAACTTTTAAGCAAAATTTACAATCACCAGATCCCAATTAAACAAGAATACCGTCTGTTTACTGCATTAGAAGCTGACAGAGGTTTACATCAGTTCATGTGTATGCCTTTTAGTGTGACAAACGGAGTAACTCAAAAGTAAGGAGTAATTTCAAAAAACAGTGGACAATTTTATTGCTGATGAGATATTGAAAAACTTTTGCTTATTTTGATAATTTGACAATCTGTGGAAAGATGAAAAAGAATCATGACTACAACCTTAAAATGCTTCCTTTTAGCTGGTAAAGCAAAGAATTTAACCTATAACAACAAAAAATGTGAAAAAATCAAGACCACTACTAATGAAACTCCTCATGAAGGACTCTTTACGTATCAAAGATGTTCTGCTGATGGACGTTCAATCCAATTATTGCTTGCACAACCTGGCAAGGTGTTATTAAAGAAACGTCTTAAAAATTCTAAGTATAAATTTGATGTAGATTAGGTATTCCTAATGGAAGCAAACCTACAATATGCGCTTATTTAGCATGCTTACATTCGTGAATCTACGGTTCCTATTCGTCACCTTGCACCACTAACTTAAGACTCACATACAGTTAAGTTACAGTTAAAAACGGTATCTTATCG